GGGGGGGGGGTTTCAGAAAAACGTCCAGACTAGATACATGTTATAATGAATTATTAATAAGCTTTCTAATGACACTCAAATCACTTTGATAGGTTCTAAAATGACCTTTGACTTTTGTAATTGAGGGGCATTTGCCATAAACACAAAATAAAAGCTGTCCAAAATGCATCACGGTTTGGACAAAATGGCCACCGCAAATTAGGAAAAAAGGATTATTAAAACAATGATATATAACTTATTTGACAATGTATTCATGCTAATATACATTTGAACTAGATTTCTATTCATAATAAGGATTTAAAGGTGGATATAGTGCTTCTATTTTAAAAAAAAAAATAGGTTGACTGAACTCCCATGAATCAGTCAATAAATCGCATTCAGATGTGGAGAAAAAGACGCGGTTCATATTTCAGCTTGGATTAATCACAACATGGTTGGAGTACTTTTGTCAGTATCTCACTGTAAAATAAATACCAAAACAAAACAAACTTTCCAAAATACCATCATAACCAGCAACAACATCGTGGCATCAACAGATAAAAGCTTGGGAAATGCTCTATTATCAGTTAGGATCTTCCTCCACACAGATAAACTAACGCTGATGGCGCAAGGTAAGGTTTTCTAGCTGAGTCAGCACAGAGCCGCTGCAGGTTCCTACCAAGTGCTGTGTGAACCCAGTCTGAAATGCCTCCTAAAGGTTTCAGTTAGCCGTCTTCGGGGGAGTTACGCTTTTTGACTTAAAAAAAAAAAGAAAAAAAAAGTTTCAGCCTGAAAATACTTCTCCCGCACACTTTAATCACAAAGAAACTTATTGAAACACATTTTAAAAACATATTGTAAATGTATATCAATGTCATAGAATAATTTGCATGCAGGAAAATAACATTCAAAATAATAGTTTGTGCGGTGATCCAGTGGTTAGCACGTCGACCTCACAGTGCAGAGGTACCAGGTTCAATTCCACCTCTGGCTTCACTGTGTGGAGTTTGCATGTTCTCTCCGTGCCTGTGTGGGTTTTCTCCGGGTGCTCCGGTTTCCTCCCACATTCCAAAAACATGCATGGCAGGCTGATTGAACAATATAAATTGTCCCTAGGTGTGAGTTTGAGCGCGGATGGCTGTTCGTCTCTGTGTGCACTGCGATTGCCCCCCCCCCTCCCCCGCGACCCTTGTGAGGATAACCGGATTGGAAAATGGATGGATAATAGTTTGTACTGTTTTTAATTTTCCGATTCTAATCTGTTTTCTTGCTTCAGCCATATTTCGGCCATGAGATGAAAGGCAAGCAAAACCAACTTTTCCCGAGTGGTTATCAAAGACTGTTAAACTGCCTCTTTTATCACTTTCAGCTGCCCCTGTGTTGTTGTATAAACCACAGAGTGACACACGACTTAGCTGGCGGGTAAAACTGCTGCAGGAGGACAAAATAGAAAGGAGACGTTGAGAGAGCTCGAGGGCAGGAAAACTACAGTCAAGGCAACAAACATCGGTTTGTAAATATGGCGTGCCCAACCTGTAAACTGATTCCATGCACATTAAAACCCCAATTTAATCAGCTCATATGAGTATTGTCATGGAAATGTATATTAACTAAGCTCATAATCTGCTTTTGATTTGATCCCAGTCAGTCAGTCAGTTATTTTGTATATTTTAATGCATAACCTCATTTAGTGTTTGAAATTGGTTCCCAAGGGAATGCACAGACAACAATGGACGACGGATCCTCAAAATTTTAGGCAAAACTTACAAATACAAAAAGGTCGACGCACTATCGGTGTAACAGTTACGATTTGCATATTTTCTTTTTAGGAAAGCACAACATCAACAGCTACGCTTGCACACATGCTAGTTGGTTTTTTTTTTCATGCTGTATGATTATGATAATTGTTGATGTGACGGCGTTTCTGACGAATTCACAAGTTTGACATACTGCCCAAAAAAAACACCAATCATGATAGTCAGAGGCTGCATTGTATTTGTTGACTACAGAGATGTGAGGCTGGAGTTCTACTTCCTGTCCATTTTTTTTTTGACCGAGTTCTTCTACTTTATCCCATCTTTTTTAAGTGTCTGTACTCCATAAGTACGACACAAGTACCACCTCTAGATATTGACCCCTGAGCACAATAATCCTCTTGTAAGTCTTCAGACATCTTTTTTTTTTTTTTTTCCACATAACTACTCCATTGTGCTCATTGGCCATTGTGAACGAGGCCCAAAACGTATTTACACTTTGGCATTGTGAGGCGGCGGGTAAACAGGATTTGTCTTGATTTCCTCCTGACTGTGCGAACCTGGGTGCCTTTGGGGGGGGTCTGTGCCCACGACTGGCACAGCGCAGATGGAGCAAACCTGTTCTACTTTCTCAGCTTTACAAGCACAAGACAGCTGCGTGGGGATTTGTTTGGGGCAAAAGCAGCAAAGCACAGTCTGTTCACGCCAATACAGTGGCCGTCATTATTTAATAAGCAACGCATGACTGGATATCAGTCCAGATTAAGGATATGATTGATTTCATCCAGCTGGCTTGAATGTTACGCTGTCTATGTTTAACAACGGCTTTGACGCAAATGAGAAAAACTTCTCTTCTCAAACTGCGGTTCGTTTCGGCAATGAAATTTAAGATGTACAAGGTGGTGTCAGTTGTTGTATTTGCTCACAGCTTTCATAAGTCTCAAGGACTTCTGGATCACCGTTTCATTTTTTTTTCTTTTTATGGGTGGGGGCGCTACGGTTAAGTTACATTGAAGCAAATGTTTTGTCAATTGGACAGGAATTTTGTCGATTCAACTGCCACATTGCCCTCCAGTCACACCTTGGGGCAAAGAATTTTGGAAAGATGCTGAAAAAAAAATTACTTTGCATAAAGATGTTCTCGTGAGGGATTGTATGTGTGTGTGTGTGTGTGTGTGTGGTGGGGGGTGGGTGGGGGGGGGCTCCAGTCGCAGCTGTGTTTGTGCAACATGTCCAGACATGTATGTAAAGCCTGTGACACACATAAAGACTTTTCAAAAATCTCCCAAACCTAGAAAATGTGTTCGAAAAAAAAGTAGCCTAAAGACATTCTTTAAACCAGTGTCAAAAATTTAGGGACACATAAAGCCATCTCTGATTGAACTTTGCTGTTGACCAGTGTGACCTCCCCAGTGCTACCAAACCAAGTCCGCACTGACTCTTGGTCTTGTTCCCAATGATCTGATTAGAAACAAAATACTCACAAAGTTGAGTCTATGCAGAGCATGTCTGCCGTTTTCACACCCTCCCACGACCACAGTCGAGCGAGAGCAGTTTCTAATTATACGTCCATGTTTACTACTTCAGAGATTCACAGGCTTGTAATGAATTGTGAGGACTGGGGAAAAAGTTGACCTCTGCAGCCTCGCATCCCTTGTGGTACTATTATTAGAGGGGCAACATTTGCAGGGAAACATCCGCAAAGAATAAGACACAAGTCGTATGGTCAGCAGTATGGATTTGAACACCCCCCCGGCCCTTCCCTCCGAGGTGCTCCTGATTTTCTGATTTTAAAATAACACGGGAGTTTCCCCACTATTCGCGGATGGAAAAAGTCTGTGAATAATTGGCACCGCCTAAAAAGGTTTCGAATTTGCATTAGAATTGTTGATTAGACAGGGATATGGCCTGCATAAACTAAGCTCCTCCCCTCACTTTAGCATAGTTACTTGGCAACAAGATACCACTAGATAGCGCCAAAATATTTTTTGTTTGTTTGTTTGTTTTTTTTTAGACAGGACCTTGGCCTCCACATACAGCGATAATGAATTATCCCCCCCCCCCCAAAGTTGTCATTTTTATGTGAGCAATCTGTGGAGATAAAAAGTCATCTTACGAAAAGTACCATATTTTTAGATTTTAGATAGTCGGAATATGATGGCGTTTAACAGGGAAAGAAAGTCCTTGTGAATTTCAAATGTTAAAGCTGAAGCAGTTGTAAAAGCGCTATATCAATAAATATGTATTGTATTGTATTGTAAAACAACAGCTTCATTCTCATATTATACCTTTTGATTCCACAAAATCTCCTTCCACAAAAACAAAGGAAGAGCTTGGCCAAGACACAAGGCGCTGGAGGGAACCGGGCCAGGATGACAAGAAAGGGTGGAAACAAAAGCTAACGAGGAAGACAACAAAGGCACATGAGGAAATAAGATGATGAAGCAAAAACAAATGCAATCTAAACAAAAACAAAATTCAGGACAGATTCGAGTTCAAGAACCCCTGGTTTACAGAAGATCAGGTTCTCATTTGCCATAGATAGGCACACTCTTTATTTTCGCACGGAAAATGCTGAAGAAGTCAGAATTCTTGTGAACATGGTGTCCAAGGCGTACAAAAAAAAAAAAAAAAAAAATACCTGAGGGAAGGAAAATAGGCTATTGTATTGTGGTCCTATTATTTCCTGAGTGGTTCACACACAGATTAATGCATCCGGGTCCGTCTGTATTGTTCTTGTCAAGGAGGAGGAGGGTCCAGCGACTTGACTTTTGAATCGGACATTCCGCTCCTGCCCAATGTGAGGAAACACAGGCGAGGGTCTTGGGCTCCTGTGTTCCGGCGGTGAAGGGAAAGGAGGCGGCTGCTGCCGGGGAGATGGTGCCACAGGCCAAGCGTCTTGTCGGGAAATGTGAGAAAATGTCCTGGGGCATCACCCGCGACGGGCTGGAAGAAGTGGCTGGGGAGAGGGAAGTCTGCGTCTTCCCCGCTAAAGCTGTTGCGCCCGCAACTTGACCTAAGCGGGAGAAAATGGTTAGGCTCAGTTGAGTTGATTTCGGTTACAGGCGGGTTAGGGTTTGAAAGCATGATCATTATAAATTCAGAAGGTCTAGGGTTTGGGATTTTA